GGATTCGAACCCGCGACCCACAGATTGTGAGTCGAGCGCCTTATCCACCTGGCTATGCCGGGCACAAAAGTGATGCAAAAAAAGTTAAAGTGAGGGAATAGAATATCACATTAATATCCCAGGTCACAATGGTAGGCAGTCAGGGAGGATAACTAATCTGGAAGAAATGTATGAACATAGTAAAGATAGGTGTGGTAAAAACTCTGTGGTATCAGGAAAAAAAGGAAGGTATGGGACAAAGCTGCCTGATAACCCAAGATTGAGGGGACCAAAGACTCATGGTAAAAAATCCAGGGGAGAAATTCTGCCACTCGAGACACAGGAATTTGATCTGCAGAAATCCCTGACTCGTAGATGAAGTGCAGAACACTTTCCAGTTATGACAATAAATGCCCACTGAAAACAAGTGAATGGAACAAGCTAAAAGAAAGCTACCTGCAGGTATAAATCCGATCTCCCCACCAAGGACTGAATAAGAGCCAAGCATGAAGATAAACAACGTGAATGTCCGGTTGCAGTACCAGCAAATAAAGTGGACAAAGAAGGGCAGCAGACAAAGGAAAAGGCAGTGGAGGTAAAAGTTGGAGCTGGAGAAGGTGTGGAAACCATGGTTGAGCTGGCCATTAAGGAGCAATCAGAAGGACCTAACACAGAATGGTAGGGATGAGGGAAATCACCCATGGAAGTAAGTGGATGAACATACAGGAACCTGTGGGACCAATCCTGGCCAAAGGCATCAACAGTTTTAGCTAGAGGAGGAGGTACTGGATACCAAATAGAGGTAATGGGTAGTTAAGAGATGTAGTAAAGGGATCTATGTGGCAAGAATCCCACGGAAAACAAAGCCACTGGAAAACAAGAGACCATTCCAATGGATAGAATGTATCAGGACGAGAAAAACAAACTATGATCTGAGTGATTGCACCCGGAAAATGACATGCAAAGATCTGAATATTGTGCGAGGGGGCCCAAATAAGCAGATCTAATATGTGAAAAGAGAGGAAATATGAACAGGTGCCACCCCAGGAGCAACATCCCGAAAGAAAGGGACATGAGAAGAAAAGAAACAGATCATAAAATCCTATTAGTAATGGAAAGGACAACAAACAGCAGTGTCACACCCAATACTGACCCAAAAGCAAAGATATCATGTGAGGAGGGAATGAACTGAAGATGGCAAAAACTCCAACATGGAGGGAAGAAAGAGAAGATCTCTCTCGACAAACTCCAAATAAAAACAGAACACCAAATAAAGGGAACCATGAAACATTAAAAGTACGAGTGACAATACAGGAAAAAAATAATGACAAATGCCAGAAGAAATCTGCCTGAAGTTAAACTAAGGTACAATTGAAAGCCCATAGAAGGTAAGGCTTGTATGTAGCAAAACTAAAAAGAGACAAAAGGAACAATACAGAAAACATGAAGATAATATCCTGCAAAATGTATCTGAAAATGCATAAAATAGGTCTAACAGATACTGCAATAGAATTATGAAAGGCATTCCATGATAAGGTCAGGGAGAACTGACAATTTTAGGATGTTGGAAAATAGGTTCAGCCATTAGATGGGGAAGGTGAGCAATAGTGGAAGCAGATACAGCAGACCCTGGTTCCGAGGGACCAACGCATTAATTTAAATTACTGGTACAAGGGTTAATTTATAAATGAAACAAAGTTAATGGTAAGAAGCATAAAGTAGATATTAAATGAAAGTAAATGTAAAAAGTATAAACGGGAAAGAAAAAAAAAGAAATAGTCAACATAGTGAAAAACGTGAAGAAAATGGTACATCCCTTATGGTAATGTATCCCTTATGATGTTGTGTTGAAGAAAAACCTCGAACTGTGGTAGATATGAACCTGTTCATAAAACTACGGGAAAACAATAAATTAATTAATGGTAAGAAGGGTAAATTGTAAATGAAATGAAATTAATAGTAAAAAGGATAAAGTATACTCTAAATGAAATGAATGATAATAATTATAAAGTAGGGATGAAACAAAAGTAACTATAAAATTATAAACTATAAAGAAAAAGAAAATGAATTGGTCAACATATTAAAATGGAAAGGAAATGGTGTAGTGAATGAATTCTGTACAATGTAGTGGTGATGAAAAACTGGAACCTAAGTAGATATTAACATATCAATAAAACCAAAGGTAAACCAATAAATAATACACTAATGAAACCAAATCAAATAGGAAACTGAACAGAAATAACAAGGAAATCTAAACTAGAACTACGGTGAAATCAAAAACAATGAAAACTAGTTAAGCCTAGTTGAACCATACAGAACAAAGGATAACCTAAGAATGAAAATAAAACAAAAGTAAAACATAAATAGACACAATAATGGGAGAAGTTTCTGTGGGCTCGGATTCAAGGGTTCTACCCAAAACAAGTGGAGAAAAAGATTATTTATGAAATGAAATAGAAATGATGATATAAAAGTAAGGAAATAATAGTTAAACTAATGAAGGACATACCATGTTAAGCCTAACTGAACAGTATAGATGAAAAACAACGAAGACTAATTACGAATCGTAACATGACTTAGTATTAACTAATCTAAATAAGTGTATGTTGTGGAATTCAAATAATTACAGATAATAATACTAGTAATAAAATTGTAAAACGTCTTATCTTTCCAAAGTCGACAGACTGTATGACAAATGGTGGACCACAAAGCACGAGGCAAAGTCCAATGAAAGTCTGAACATTAAACAATCAAACTCTCGATGAAAAAAGGCGAAAACTGTCCGTGGAGTAATGTAAATGAAATCCATTATAAACATGTGAAAACAACATAGAATCTCCGCATTAGGAATGGAAACTACATAATGGTAATGTAGAACTAAACATTTTAAATCCAGTGGTGGTAAAACACTATCAAAATCTTTGTCTGCCCAAACAGAGTAGAGTTCTACAGGAAGAACTGTGGGTGATAACTGAAGAAAGAGGCCAACCTTTTTAACATTCAATCTACCGGAGGACAAACAACAATAAAAACCCACACTGGGTCTCCCACACCTGCAGCCTATGAGATAGTGCTAGTCGTACGCATGACCCCCAAGTGGTCAAATTAGCTTTGGAATACGACTGGAATAAATGAAGGTAAATTTCAAACTCCAGAGAATCTGGAACTTATTATAAATGAGTACCACTTCGTGAGTATACTAAATACAAACGTGAAACACTAAAGAATGACAAAAGAAAAAAGTCCGAGTACAAATGCTGCCAAATGAGAAGTGATAGTTTGGTGGAAAATATAGATTGAGTCACATTACACTCCATTGGTGGAGAAGTGATGCATGACGATTTGCATGAGAGACATGTTGGAATCACTAGATTGCAATAGGGGGAGCAGAAGACTTGTGGCATGCGTTCCAATAAAGTTTGCACATAGAGGGCAGCCCTGAATGGGGAATAACTAATCTTGTGAACAGAGGGAATTACTGTATCGGAAACATTACTTTAAATGAAAAAGAGTTTTTACGAGATATACCTAAATAAAACTAAGTTCATTGGTTTCTTGCTAACATTATTAAATTCTTCTAGAAAACCTTCTGTGATAGTACGAAGATGTGTGATGTCATGAACCTCTGTGTAGTTCCGTGTGTCTGATTTTGGGTCTGCAAAATCACAGTAGATTAGAGATCTTAAGTCACATTCCTCAACAACCCCATCTTCATTCAGGTCCAGTCTTGCCATAAGTGTATGAAAGTTAATGTGCAGATGGTCTTTTGACACTTTCTGGATATACTCGTACAGCCATCTTCGGTCATCATCATCAACCAAGCGATCATAAAAAACCCTAAATACCTGGCAATCCAAAATGAAAAAAGTAATATTTTCAGACAATATTTACTCTTAAAGCAAAAGTACTAACAAACCCTTAGCATTATCAATGGGGATCCACGTGGCTTTTTAAAAACATTTTTCTAAACACTGTTTATGCACCATACTATTTTATTGGTCACAGGGTTATTAAAATTACATAAAAGATACAAAACAATTAAATAAATATACCATAAAAGATTGCAATTAATCCCATTAATTACCACTGGGGTCCCGTATGTATTTAACATAGAAAATAAGTGATTTTACTCAATTTGTTTTGATCATTTCTTTAAATTGAGTGTTTGTAACAAGCAAAAACACAAAAGTACCCAATATGATGCAATATGTGGACCTCACCGTTACTGAAGACATAAAAAACAAGTTGATATGCAAGAGTTAAAGTCACTGTTTAAGGTAAACAAATATCCAATTTTAATGAATTATCTAAACTTACTGGTCATAATATAATTACCAAACAATTATCAAAACTTTTTCATAGATTATTTTATTTTCAGTGTTCTTGGCAAGCAGAAAAACTTTAAAAAAAAGGTAAACTAATGAAGAATAAATTACACCATCATGAAATTAAACTACAATCTTGGTAAAATGTCTTACCAAGCATTTAAAATAAAGATAAAAATATTTTACAAAATTTAATTATTCTTCATTCTTTCTTTATTTAATGATCTGTTGTTGTACACTTCAAAAAAAAAAAAACTTGTAAAACTTGAGTCTATTAATTTTGATTGTTGTACAATGTTCACTTGTCTAAGATACTGCGGCTTCTATCTATCAATTTACAAAATCATTTTCATGAAATTATAGATTTAAATGTAGTATAAGGTAAACAAACCAGAATGAGATGTTGGGATGCTTTAAGATATTTTATTATGTAAGATGTATACTAGCTTGAATCAGTCAGTCTATATAGTCAATCATATGTTTAAAAAAGATTTGATGACGTATACTGAATTATTTTTTACTGCTACTGCTTAGTGCTTCTCTATGATTTATATATATTTGCTTTTGGAAATGATAATGATTTTTTTTCTTCAATGGTTATCTAACTTTAAGTTCATATGGTACATATATAAGTGTATAATTACCATCTAAACTGATTACTCTTTTCAATATTATTAAAACATGTACCTCATGTACAAACAATCTTTTAAAAGAAGCTTGATCTTCAATAGTTTCTGGTAAAGAAAGTAACAAGCCTTGGACAACACGTGAAAAGTCTCGTAGGTTGAACAGGTAATGAGATTTCTTTGGTGTTGGCAATAAACAGGTCATTGCTTCTTTATATATCGCAAGAGTACCCTGAACTAGCTCTTCAATGCAAGGCTCAAAGTCCCTGCTGAATCCCCTGTTATAAAAATTGAAGAAACATTACTTGCCACTTAAAGCTTGTTTCTCTATTCCATCAATGAATACAAATATATAATAATTTTTTTTTTTGCTAAATATTAGAGCTAAGAAAACTTAGCTAGTTTTGCAAACATATGCAATTTTATATCAGAAATACTTATCATCTATAAAGCAGATTAATATGTTTAATGCAAGTTGAATTTTTATACAAAAAAAAACAATGCACACTGAGAATCCTAAATAATCATTCACTTCAAAAACAATATTATTTTGGAAAATAAGGCTTAAAGGAACAACTTGAAATACCCATCTGTACCTAGTGACACTGGTTTTACAAATTAAAATCAGGAAAACACTTCAATATGTCTTCATTACTTTTAGCTACATCAGTTCCAATATTTTAATATTAGAAAATTATTCAACATTTTCCTTATGTCGTAGAATTATACATGGACTTTTCTCTATGTTAAAATACTTTTTTACAGTTTAAAGCTTTCAGCCGATTTGCTGGAGACTTCCTCGGGCAACAATGAAATGAGCAATACAAATACATTTATCTATGGAACACTGTTTTAAAACTGATGTCCAGACAAAAATCATAACAATAACTGACATCTGGTATTAGTTATTAACCATATATAAATTATGACAAATATAGAATTAACTGTCAAAGGTTTAAATTTTTACATAAGTTGAATAATCAAAAACCTTGGTCCATTTTACTTCACTGTATAGTAACCTAAAGAAATCTTTAACATATATGTAAAATTTTTCTTCTGTTGTTAGTGTGATCATATCCATAAATTAATATTTAGAGAAGAATGTACATTTTCTACACAATTCTAAATATAAATTTACCTATAACAAAACAATTAAATAATTCCTACCTGCTTTCTAGATGCCATGTAAGAATACGATTGAAGATAGTTGTCATGATTTCATCATTAAATTCATTAATAGTGACAGCATTGAAATGTCTGAGGAAACGCGGAGTAATTGGATTACGACCTCCACCTGGCCAATATTTGTAAAATAAAATACACTATGGACAGAAGTACTAAAATAGAATACTAAAGCATCATGAAGTTAAATGATTACTTAAAGTCTTTTACTGAAGTTAACCATTTTAAGATTACAAAATATATTATGAAAAATATCATGAACCATGCTAGTGATTCATAATAGGGATCACCAATTTGGTCTTATTTATTATTATTTAATATTATACTGGCAGCCTACAGCAAAAATGGCTGTAAGTATTCTAATAAAACCTGGGCACTTACTAAACACATCACTGACCATTGTGTAGGGTAGTTTTTATGTTTATTTGACTACCTAGCAAATAACAGTAGCTGTATAACAACTGACATCCAATCAGTTTAATGTAGTCTGTGATTTATGCGGAGCATCATTATCTAGTACATGTATGTTTCTCATGAAACAATATGTACATCTAACGAATATGGGAAAACTCCATAAAGAATGTTTTTGGGTGCTTCACAAACTCTCCGATGATCATTGTTTCAAACATGTGAATGTTGCTTCGTCTCTTTTGGTACATAATGTGTGTGAACCATTTTTGGACAGAAATGTCACCAGTGATGAAAAATGGATTCTCTATGTGAACATAAATGCCAAAAACAATGGCTCAGTCCTAGACAAGAACCACTTCCGACCCCAAAACCTGGATTCCATCTGCAGAAAGTGATGCATTGCATTTGGTGGGACATCAAAGGAGTAATTAATTTCAAACTCCTCAATCCACAACGAACTGTCAATGCAGAGATCTATAGTCAGCAACTGGAATCCTTAAATCAAGCCCTTCATCAGAAATGCCCTTCACTCATCAATCACAATGGTGTTCTTCTTCTCCACGACAATGCACGTCCACCTGTGGCATGTTTGATGCAACACAAGATTATGGAGTTGGGTTGAGAAGTTCTCCCCCACCCACCATATTCTCCAGATATGGCACCATCAGATTACCAACTTTTTCGTTCACTGCAACACCATCTTAATGGGAAAATGTATGCAAATGTGGAAGGTGTTAAAGAAGACATCAACATGTTTTTTTGCTTCAAAGCCAAGTGATTTCTTTAACCAGGGCATTAACAACCTGATTGTCAGATGGAAAAACATCATCCATAAGAATAAAGACTATTTCATTTAATATATGTTTTATTTTGATATATATAAGTTGTATGGGTTTTTTCATCTAAAAAAAGCAACATTAATTTCTTGACGACCTAATATATATATATATATATGCCAACATGCATTGCATGTGCATGCATGTATAAATTTTATGTGGTTAGAAAATCCAGTCCATGCAGCATTCCAGTATAGTTCAGTAGACCCTCAAATTTAGTATTTACAGACTCCTCATATAGCTACAGGGTATAAATATAGTAGCTATATATATTTCACAAGCATACACATAATATGTGTTATGTTGATCACCATACATCATAGTGATCATACATGCAGTATCACTATCAATGATAACATTGTGACAATATCAGGAGCAATAGCCATCCAACCTGCACGAAGCCAATTTAAAGTTTATCATTGTTTTCCAAGATAGGATCATACACCAACTACATATTTCATTAAACTAAACTGTTTCAAATTAGGACAGTATTGCTATCATACAGATCTATGTCCATAATGGACATAAAAAAACTAAAGATACAAGATTATTAAAAATTGTTAATTTAAAAAGGGGAAAAGGAATCTTCAAACAATTACAGAAACAAAATAGGTAGCTTAAAGCAAAAATGCAATTGTCAAAAAAGCAAACAAACAACCTTAAGGTTTGAAACATAGTGTCGACATTATTTCCTCAAGTTACAAATCCCTACTTTGACACTATGTCTAAAAGCTGTAATATTTAGGAGAGTCAAAATAGGGATTTATAGCTTGAAGAAATAATGTCAAAACTATGTCTCAAACCTTAAGCTTGTTTGTTTACTTTTTTGCCAGTTGCATTGAATGGAGAAACTTTCAATCTGAGCTAGGAACTGCCTCATTCTATAATGAAAAAAACCAGTTGGAACTAATTATTCATAGAAAAGACACAAAGTTAGTGTGTAGCGTTTTTTCTGTAGATTTTACATCAAATACACTAAAAATCTTTTTATAAAGTGGCATTTGGAAACCTCCTTGAGATTAAAACATCCAAGTTTACTGTGTGTGTGTATACAAGTAATACAAATGAAGGGGTATTTCATCATGTGTTTTGATAGAAGTCAATATCAGGAAAATAAGGTGAAACATCAATTTTTCCACTTATGGAGAAATCTACAGGCCCTGATTTTTTGTTTAACTCTTCACATTTTAATTTTTTACATTTATTTTAACTTAGCACAATACACAATCAGCAACTCTGTGTCTTAGTTTTTTTTATTAATAAAGATTTTGTTTTTAGTTTTTCTTCCACCTACAAAAAATCTCTATATCTGTAAGCCCATTGGAAAGTCAGTAATAAGTAATGAGTTGAAACTGTTACCTAGTAAATCAGTAGAGTCATAAACATTAGCCTGAATATCTGCTCTCTATATAGGAATATCATGAAAATAAATATCTTAAACCAACTTTTTTGTCTATTTGTGTTGAATTATCTCACCATCTGTTCAGAGTGATCCCCTTTTATATCTACCCAGGATCTCAAGACAAGGAAGACATACCTTATTTGTTTCTGATAGACTAGAATAATGAGTATTGTTTGAATATGAATTACAGCTATACTGAATAACGAAAGTCAAATTGATGTAAGAGATAAGAAAGTCATTTCTTCATCTGAGAGCAGAGTTATGTTTTTTTTTAGTGTGAGTTTATTGTACACATTGCAATGTTTTGTACTGTGAGTTTCATGTTTTGTTTTTATATTATTAATAATTACAGAATTGAGGAAAAACAAGACAATTGTACATTTCACAAATACATCATTTATTCATCATGATTAATAACTGTTCACTTTAGTTTGAATTTGTTTGATTTTTAGTTAGATAAGTTACCTTTGTTTGAAGTGAGGTTTTACATGATCTATTGATCTTATGCTTAACCTTGATTTTTATTCAGTGCTTTTAGGTTTGTTTTGTTAACTCAGTTTTGAAGTAAACATTTTCCTTACCTGTAAATATATTTCTGGTAGATACTCACCTCTTAACTCTCATTTGCCTATGAGATTTGCATGCTACTAGTATTGAGTTAACTTCCACCTAAAAATTACGTGTTTAATCTGAACTGCGCTAATGCATGTTGATGTCTTCATGCAACGATGGCCCTCCAACAATAGGTTGGTGATACAACCTCCATATACAGTAACTCCCCTGAGCACTTCCATTCAAAATAACTTTATTCTCAGATGAGACAAGAAGAAAGTGCACCAGAAATAGGGTGGGAAGATAAGGAAAACATTAACTTCTGAGATGATACCTCACCTCCTCACACAGAATCCTACACTGAAATGGTAGAGGGGCCAGTACAAAAATTAAACCAAGATGAGTTCCCTTCCAAAATCACCTGAAGGGAAAGATTTTGAGGTGTGAAACTTGATGACAGGGGCTCGATAGGGACTCACCCATGGAAGACAGCATCTTGTCTCAACAAGGATATACTTTTTGCGTGTAAAGAAATAGGAGGAAAGGCAATAGGGCCCCAGGTGTTGCAGGGATGAGCAGAAGCTTTTCAACCAAGCACTCACACACAAACGGTCAGTGAACCAAGAAGTGTAGTATGATTAGGGTGCAATTAGACCATATGGTGTGTGTGTCTGACCTCGACTTAACTGGACATACAGAGACGGGGTTGACAAATCCATCCTGCTGTGGAAAGAGGGCACACTAGCTGTTTGAGAGGTGAATTGAATTACACAGACAGTGCCACCATTGCCCTTATTCCAACTGTACTGTACTGTATATGATTGGTGAAGAACTCTCCAAGGTCCACCATCCCAGTTGCTAGGAGCTGGTAAGTGGCAAGGGCCGCTTGTGCTCCACATGAAGAAGGGGGAGAGAATTCAAGCTGGGGAGATCTCAAGGAGTACCTAGATTCCCATCAGACACCTGCCAGAAAGATCTTTTACTGGAGACAATGCAATGAGTAAATGCAAAATCCTATTTTTAAAAGCCAGAAAGTGCAAGCTAAAGAAGTGGGCAGTCATTTCTCTAGTGTCAGCTTTTTTCCATAATAGTTCATGGAATGGTTTGGTCTGGATTGAGCAATTCATTAATTTTAATACCATGAGAATACCTCTAGTGATCCTGTGGCACATCCCATCTCAACATTGGGCAGTAGTAGAGCCAAGATGGATGGGTTGGGTGCTTTTCATTATCTGTGGTCAGATGCAAATTTTATGAAATAAGTCTATTCAGGGAACCAACACCAGCTACTTGGTGGGATCCTACAAGAGGGAAAATGGTCTGTAGACTATAGAATAGTGACCGAAGTGAGTCAAAAGTCTGCAGAAGACAAAACAACCAGATGATGAAGACAATGGGAGACAAACATTATAGATTTGTCCATATGCCAGCCTGAAGAATCTCATCTAAGGATTGGCAAAAATGAGATGCAAGAGAATGAGACAGGTGATGAATTTGATGCAACGAAATGTAAAAAAGCCTGTGTGTGAGCATCAGTATTTAGGGAAGAATACACCAACCAGAGGAGTCAGTGGGCCCATCTAGTTTAGGTAGGAAAGTTTGAGAAAGATGAGAAACAAAAAAAAAATCAATGCCAAGCCACCTCAGCCCAGTTCTCCAGAGAGTCAGAAACAAACTAAAGTGCTGAAAAGAAGAGAATGCATCTCTTCAGGAACACGATGAAGTGCCTCAGAAACAAGGTGAAGTGATAAGAGGTAATGTAAGAGGGTGGTAAGAAAGAGACAAAAATGTGAAAGTTGGGCACTAGATAGTGGTCTGCCCCCCAAGCAGGAACAAGTAATTTCAAAGATCAGGGATCAAAAAATGGAAATGAAGAATGGCTGTAAGCCAGGACAAAAAGAGTTAAGTAGGTAAGGAGGACAAGGCATGTGATTACAGGTGCACAGTTGTTTACGAAACAAGTCTGCATGAACCCTATGTGGTTTTCTATAACTATATTTATTTTATTTGGTTTATTTGTATGTACGATTGTGTTAAATGCTTTATAAAATCTTGTTTTATGTCACAATTAAACTTTCTTTTTCTCCTCAAACAATCCACACACTTAAGCAAATCCTTGACCTTGTTTATTGACATTGTTCCCAATGTTAGGACACAAAAATAGAATTATGACTATAGGAAACAACTTATGAAACATATAGTGTTAATTAAGTAAAATACACACACACACACTAATTGGTGATGATTAGTGAAAAAAGTTTATGTTTATTTCAGAAAAGCACTGCATAAAAAACTATTAACTGTTCTAATACTCACCAGGAGGCCCCATAGCTGCAATCAACTGGACATCTACCAAACGAAGAGGTATGACTTCCTTTCTGTCATACCAAGTATAGTGATCTAGCCATTGTCGTAGCAACTCTATGGGAGGTTGAGCTCCATACGTCTCTCTTTGTGGCATGTTTAAATCATCTACAAACACCACCTTGCAAAAAATATGATTCAGGAATAAACCAAACACAAAATTTTGAATTTTCTTAGTGTATTCATGGTCAGATAAAAAAATGTATAAAAACAAGTACAATAAACACAAATTACAAAAAAATTACATGTAGATGTTCAGGAAAGTAATAATAAAAATTGAGGATTACCATTTTTTTCCCTAGAGGAGGTCCAAAAACACCCTTTCTTCGCTTGTCTAATTTACTCATTATAATATCTTGGGTTTGGTTAGCACTTGTTTGTGCTGAGAAGTTAATAAACAATGGTTTGTACACTTGCCCATCCATTTTGTTCAGTAAATAGTCCTAAAACAAAATAACGGAGACCATACTGAATTTGTAAAATTACTTACACATTTTGTTCAATGAAATGATTTACAATAAAAGCACAAATAATGTTTTGCAAGCTTGTTTATCCATTTTATTATACATTTAGTCTTATGTATGTTAGGAAATTAAAGATGTATTTGTTTACTTGTCTGTTGTTAAGCACAAGGCTACACAATGAGCTATAGTTGTTGTGCCTAACATGGGAATGGAAACCCAGTTTTTAGTGTAATAAACTGTCAGAATTACTGCTGAGCCACTGGTGATCAATAAGAATGTCAAAAACTTGATTTTAACACTTTTACAACAAATAGTCCTGAGGTAATCGCAAAGTTAAACAAAGTTAATCTGCGCTAGCCGTTCCTAATTTAGCAGTAAAAGACTAGAGGGAAGGCAGCTAGTCATCACAACCCACCACCAACTCTTGGGCTACTCTTTTAGCAATGAATAATGGGATTGACCATCACATCATAATGTGACCCTCAGATTGCGAGTCGAGAGCCCTAACTACCTGGTTATACCGGGCCACCTGGGTTATTGCATTGTGAAGTAGAATAAATTAAAAGTGAACTAACCCAAAGTAATTAATGAAACTGTCTATAGATAAGCTGCTGAAAATTGAAGTGAAACTGTATTCAAGTAGATTTTAAACTGGATAAAGTTAAAGCATATACATTCAACAGATTGAGGAACAAAGGAAAATAAAAATAAGACTTTCACAGAACATTCTGGCTCCTTAAATGCAGAAATGAAACTTCTCTTCTCAGAATTTAGAAAGAAACTGGTTTGAATGTGCCAAAACTTCAATCATCAAGCACCATCTCTCTGTATCTAGCAGTCACAAAATTCTGGAACTACCCTTGTTCCATGAGACAGTTGTAAAGTAATGAATTCTCCATGTACAAGTTAAAATAAAATGTAATTTAACTATCCATTGAAACAGTACATATATTTTTGGACCATACCAGACAATGAAAGTAACACTTCAAGCTGAATTCAGCAAATGATTGTAACCATATTGAGCATATTCCAGAGTAGAACTTAAAAAAAATTTAAACTTTTGTAGAGGTATAGGACAATATTTAGTAGTCCTATATAGGATAAAATAAATGAGCAAGGGATCACAAAAATTAACCTTTTCCTACACAGAAAATATATTATCAATAATGTTTACATCCTCTCAGAGCTTCATCCTGATGAAAGTTTTTCTTCTTTGCCCATCTAAGCATTGGTATTAATCTTACATCGCTTGCTCCAACCTTTATACCCCATTATATTGCCCATAGCAATTTAAATCTTGTGATTCTCTTCACCTATGTCAATGCGCCCTATACAAGATCCATATATAAGCTCATCGTTATTACTTCCTATTCACTTTTTGAGACGGTCCAAATCAGTTGACCCAAAACTGGACATATTGTAGGAAGGAAGGGTGAGAGAGTGTGAAAGAAGGTAAGTATTGTCAGAAATACATTTTAGGTATAGGAAAATGTTAACTTACAAAACACACTTAACTCCATTCACACTTTAGCTAGAATTCCATACTGACAAGGTAGATGGGCTAGTGAGGGCAAGATCCAAACAGACAGCATCTACATAAAGGTGTGCAAAAATGATATATAATAATAGCACACAAGTGGGGTAAGCAACACAAAAATGGACATGCCCTCGTCCAAACCCAAAAAAGTGTAAAATGCCACAAGCCAAAATCAGAATTATGGGAATTGTCATGCCTCACTCAACCTGAAGAAACAGAGATTACCTGGCCTGGGATTATGAAGTGAAATCCTAACTCCCTAACCTGAAAGCCAAGGCAACACTTCCTGCCCCCAGAATTACGAGGAGGATGTGGAACAAACTAAGTCCAACCAATGACACAGGAATTGATGCTTTGTGGTCAGAATTATGAGGAGTTGAGGACCTTCCATGATCCTCAAAATGAAGAGAACCACCAAAAAGAAGGGCCACACTCAACTCAACCAGACAGCAATTGGTCATCTCTGAATCAGAATTACAAGAAGACTCCTGTGTACAATCATTCTTCTCCTACCATACATCCAAGATTACTGGTAGGAGGGCACTCAACTTTGCCCTCTTCTCCTTGAGTGGAATAATGAGTTCAAGCATCACTCTGGAGGAATTAAACTCTCTGTCTACCACTCCAATGACTGGAAACTGGGAGTGGTAAGAACTTGCATGGGGGGATACTCGCATTGGGGAGTCCCGAGGAATGGTGCTTTGGAAACTGTGCAATAGGTGAATCATATTCTCTATTTTGAAAGGCAAACTGACCCCAACTTATTCAATCCAGGGGGTCAGCAGGGATGTGAAAATTCTCCTTAACCCTATGACTAATGCGTGCTGAGATTCATAGCACCTTATATTACTCATGTAATATTTCATTCCAAAACTAAAACTAGTGGGTGAAATTCTTTGAAATTAGACAAGCACTTTCCTAAAAATGTGTAATTTCAGAAAGTAAACATTTTCCTAAACTGAAAATGTATTTCCAATAATACTTACCTCTGCTGACATTTATAGCTATTACTCAACCACCAGGGTTTTAACTTTATCTAAGCATTAGTCTGATTTTCTTTTGCTTGTTTAAGTCTTTAATACCCAACTCAATTACCCTCAGCAATATTTGTACTATGATACTCTCAATCTACAACAATGTGCTCTCTATCCTGGGAGTCTATATAAGCATCTCATTCTGATAATTTTTCGAGACTGATACCACCCCAGTCTCTAACACCAGTTCTTAATGGGAAGGAAGGGTGGGAGAGTGTCAGAGGAGGTAAATATTATTGAAAATACATTTTCAATTTAGGAAAATGTTAACTTCCAAAACATACTTACCTCTATTGCCACTTACAGGTAGAATCCCACATTGAGAAGGTGGAGAGGCCAGTGAGGGCATTATCCATATGGAGAACGTCTGCATAGATCAAGGGTGTACCAAGTTCGGAATGGTACCTGAGTGGGGGAACCTCACTGCATCCAGAACAGGTATGCTCTTCACAATGAAATTAGTTCCTGTATCAAGAGTGGAATAATACATGAGTAATCATCACTACAGACCAGCCCCAACCAGATAGCTGAGGTTCCACAACTTAGGGTTGGAAATACAAGGTCTTGGTCCCTATATCAATGTTGGTGGATAGGGCAAGTAGACCTCAATGTTATATATAGATATACTTTTAATTGGATCAAAAGATAGCGTGACTGGAATCAGAACAAGAAAGTAAGCAACACCAAAGTGAACAAACCTTCTTTTCCACTTGAAGAAGCCAGAAAGACAACATCCCAGGCTCGGAATGATGGGATCATGTATGACTTACTCAATCAAAAGAACAGAACTCATCTGGTCTGGAATTATGAAAATTCATCCTCACTCCTCAACTGAGTGGGCAAGAAGCCTTCCACTTGCCCCCAAAATTATGGAGAGGACACGGAACACTGTGCTCAACCTAGGACCCAGGATGGAAACACTCCACATTTGGAATTAGTGGGCCTCCTTCTATGAACAATATATTAAACCAATATTGATCAAAAGAAGGGCCATGCACACCCCAATCAAATAGTAGAGTATCAAATCTGTAGTGGTACTATAAGTAGGCTCCCACGTAGGCTGGTGCTGCTCATACTAACATCTGGAAAAAACATCCATGGACTTGGTTGGGGGACCCCAAACTTTGCCCTCTTCTCAAGAGCAGAGTATTTCACTCTAATACTCTGAAGGAAAAGCCTTTGTCCACCACTCCATTGACTGTAAACTGAGTGTAGGAAGGACTCTCTAGTTCCACTAGTAGAATCTGGGGAGTAATGAGCATTGGGGAGTCCTGAGGAATAGTGCTCTGTAAGCAGTGCAATAGGTGAACTAAGGAAACTGACCTCGATTTATTCAATCAGATGATCAGCAGGGATGGGCAGGATCCCCATTAACTTTACTCATGATAGTCCATGAGTGGCAGTTCAGCATAAAACGGTAATATTCTCTGGTGAGCTCCTAGATGGTCTTATGGTATACCTCATTTCTACAGAGCCTGTTGCAATTGGTAGTAGTTAAATGAAATTGGTTACTAGTGCGAAAATGGATTGATAAAAACACATCTGTCTGGGCAACACTTGCTACAGAATGGGATCCAGCGGAAAAAAAGAAATAAGTTATCCTGGAAAGTAAAGAGACAACAGGAGGAGAAACAATACTCACCCCTTCTTATAATCTAGCAGATGTGGTCAAAATGGCAACAGGGGGTAGGTAAAAACCCTCAGAAAAAGAAACTGCCAAATTGTATAAATATTATGAGAGAAATGTATTGGGAGAAGTCCACATACCAGCCAACCCAATGTCTTCCAGGAGGTAATTAAATTGGGCAGCTAATAACATAGAAAGGTGACGAATCTGATGAGATGCGAGTCACAGAAGTTTACTCACCTTTAAAGAAAGTCCAAAATAAGCAATTTGGATCAATTTGCAAATTCACCTCAACAATGTAATCGGGGATAAATCTTGGAAACTGAAGGATCCCAATGAATAAAGAGCCGATTTCTAGCACCTTGAAATGAGTTAGTGCAAGCCACATAACACCTCAGGGCTCTGTCAGGACATAACAACTGATCTAGGTCCGATCGATCATAGAGGTGAGAAATAGCTGCCAAATGAATTGGTGAGAGGGATTTATTTCATTCCCTGGCTACCAGAGTCTTAGGAAAAAAAGGACCTATCAGAGTGTAGAAGAACATAAGTGGAGTGATAAAGAGTCCTGTGCACATGTAGTGCAAACAACTATGACCTACGACGTCCACATGCCAGCAGCAACAAAAAATACTATAAGAGAAAGGTGATACATGGTACATGTGGCTAAAGACTCGAAAGGATATTGAGACAAAGCATGTTATATCACCTTAATATCCCAGTTGGGCAATGGAAAAGGCTGTTTGGGATGAAGGACTCTAAATGATTTGAGAATGCTGGA